ATGTTACATAGAATATGAAAGGGATAAATTAGGTATTTTGTATAGGACATGAAAAGGCTTAATTTTTTTATTGTTGTCATTAACTACCTTCAGTCTGTTCAATATTTGCTGAGTTCTTTACATTTCAATGAGGGCCCCTGTGATGTATTCTACTTCTTTTCTATATTTCTGTGATAATCTGTCCAGGCCTTTACTTATTTTTTGTATCATTTACTCATTGATTTGTCCTTTATAATTTGATGTCATATAATCATTTAAATTACAGAATGGCGGAAAAAAATCTGATAGAACAGTAATATCACAAAACCGCTGCTGCAAGTTCCTACAAACACCTTTACAACCAAAAAGTGAAAAATGTAGCTTTAATGAGATTTATATTAGGCCCAAAATAACGAGGGAAATAAAAGGAGAAAAGGGTGAAACAAAGGAGGTGGAGGTTGAAACAATGTCAGAAATCTTCACAAAGAACGGAGTTCCCCAAAAATCTGTATATGTTCTAGGAGATGCAGGGTCAGGAAAAACTAGTTTTTGTAAATATCTGGTCAACTGTTGGTGTTTGGCACATATTGAGGAACATGACGCTGACAATGAAGATGAAGATGACAATGGTAAACCTGAAGGGAACAGTGAAAAACATGGGGATGACAGTAAAAAACATGGAGCTGGCAATGAAAATGCAGGTGGCAGTAGTAAACCTGAAGGCGACAGTGAAAAACATGGAGGTGATGGTGAAAAACATGGAGCTGGCAATGAAAATGCAGGTGGCAGTAGTAAACCTGAAGGCGACAGTGAAAAACATGGAGGTGATGGTGAAAAACATGAAGCTGGCAATGAAAATGCAGGTGGCAGTAGTAAACCGGAAGGTGACAGTGAAAAACATGGAGGTGATGATGAAAAATATGGAGGGGTCAATGAAAATGAAGATGGCAATAGTAAACCTGAAGGTGACGGTGAAAAACATGAAGCTGGAGGTGTCAGTGACAATCAAGGTGGCACTGAGAAACAAGGAGGTGATTTTGAAGAACATGAAAAAAAGGGAAGTGACATTGTAAATGAAGAGGTAAAGGGGACACATAGTAGAGACATTGAAAACGAAGAATGCAGTAAGACACATCAAGGTGTTAACGAGAAACGAGGAGATGAAAAACATGTGGGTGGCATTAGGAAAAACGGAAGTGACAGTGATGACATTCAGGATAACAGTTATGGCTTAATACACTCCGAATCTCACAATGATGACTCTGATGATATCTTAAATGACTCCAAATCCGATAGTGATGGCTCTGATGGTGACTCAACAGACCCTGAATTTGACTCTGAATTTGACAGTGATGACTCTGAATATGATAGCGAAAATTATGAACTTAAATTCAAAGGTGTTATAGAGATGAAGAAATTTGATTTTGTATTTTACATCCCTCTTAGACAGTATATAAACATTGGCACAGTCCCAACTATAGATGAAATACTTCAAAAACGTTATCAAATGAAAATGTTAAGCAAACTTCTTGAAGAAGAATCCTCTAGAGTTATGATTTTGCTTGATGGCTTAGATGAATGGTCCTCTGAAAATGTCCCAGAACATAGTATTTTTAAGGAGTACACAATATTAACTACTTCGCGGCCATGGAAATTTCATACATTAAGATCAAGTGATGTGGAGATTGAACAATCACTGAAACTGAAAGGGTTTGATTCTAGATGTGAAAGGGAAATGGTAGATAGAACAGTCTCTCAATTAAATTCCAGCAGATATGCTAGTAAAGATGCCTGGGTTTGTGAACAAAAGCTAACAGAAAAGTCTCTGAAAAGTTTAAAACAGGTACCAATTATGCTTCAACAACTGATATATCTATGGTTTGACGGTAAACTCGATAAAACCTCAAGATGTGCCATCTACACCAGTATGTTAGAATTATTCTTCACCTGGAATGACATGAAAACTACAGGAACAAGTACTCGACTCCTGAAGGGGACCCAGAAAGTAGATCTTCCTAAATATTTAGCCGATAAAACCAAATTAAGATTAAACCGCCATTTCATTTATGAAGTATCACGGTTGGCTTATGAGACACTATTTAATTGTCCGAAGGATAAATCCTTGACATTTGACATTTGTATGTTTGATGAACTAGAAATATCAGATGAAGTAAGAGAAAATTGCTTGAAACTTGGAATAATTACAGAAGATGAATGTCCAAGTTTATCTGTATCAGAACCATCAAGCTCATTGTTTTCTTTTATTCACAAATCAATGCAAGAATTTCTGGCTGCAGTGAATATTTGCATCAATTTCAATGCAAAAATTGCTTTGTCAGATAGTACAGGAAAGGTTGAATTAGCTAAAAAGTTTATTGATGAGATTTTTCAGAAATGTTCAACAGTAAATGACATATTAGAGCAGTCAAATGTTATCATTATGCTATGTGGTCTAGAACCAAGATTAGCAACACATGTTTCAAAATACATATATGATACTGTGTCAGAAGACTCTCGTGTTCAGGAATACAGGAGAACAATAAGTAGTAACATTTATAGGGATCATGATTGTATTACTGATATTCAAAAGCTTATGTTTGAGTCAATGGGAGAATTCAATGCAGCATGTAGTGTAGGAAATAATACTGTATTTTATATAGGAGATTTGTTCATTCTAAGTTTGGGTCTGTATTGTGATATTGTTTGTTCAGGTATTGATCAGCATCAAATTGTTCCTGACACTGTTCTGTCTATTAAGGTAGGTGACATCAACACATATAATGTTAAATTTACAAAATATTTACCAATGTTTCATCACCTTGAAAAAATTGAAATAGAGTATGTATATGTACAAAGGTTATCAAGTACACAAAGTGATAGAACACAGAGTAATGAACAGATGATTGATGAGATAAACAATTGTGTTCCTGAGACAATTAAAGTAAATACTTCAACATTAAAGTCTCTGTCTCTTGTTGATTTCTCTTACACTGGCAAGTATTACCCAGTGTATAAAACAGTTGTTAGTTACCTACCTAGTATGATCAATCTTGTAGCAATACATATGAAACATATAACAATGAGTCATGATGATACTACTACATTTTGTAATTTTCTTGAGGGAACCAGTCATCTTGAACAAATACATCTTGATGATGTTATATGTGAGTGTAAGAAGCAGCATGATGTAAATTTATCAAAACATAAACAACTTCAGTACCTTGATTTGAATGATACTGTTAGTGTGATAGATGCTGATACTACAAACCTTGAAATATTTAAATTTCATGATTTGATAGATAGTAATTATGAGAAAATATTTGATATTATTAGAAAATCTAGCAAATTAAAAGAACTTAAATTGAATGAAGAATATGACAATAAATCTCAATTTTATCATACCAACATAACAAAGAGACTAGTCACAGTATTACCATTGTTACACAATCTCAGTAAGCTTGAGTTAGATAGATGTAGGTTAACTGACAATGTAATACATTTACCTTTAGAGATGAAGAGTTTAAAGAACATTGAGCTTTATGCAGTCAAAATGAGTTTGACAACATGGCAGAAGTTTGTTGATAGTCTTCCTAGTATTCCTCATACTGTAGATGTTAGTGTAAGGAAATGTTATATAACAGGAGATGGTGAGGAGTTTAATGATGATATGTTTATATCGGTACCACAAGGACTTAGTGGAGGGAAGGGAAATGATGCTGTACAGTATTTAAATGATAAGGTTCAGTTATTTCATGATATACATGATGATTATTATGATGGGTTTGGCTTTTCAACAAAAAAGTGATAAAATATACATGTAGTTACATGGTGTTTGAACTAATTTTTTTCAATATTAACAATAAAAATAGTGGTTTGAATCTTTAACATAGTGAAATAGGATACATGACGTTAACATAGTGATTAAACTAATTTATTGCATGTTAAAAGAGATAAATTTTTTGTTCATTTTTGACAAAAAAGAAATGATCTGAAAATTTAACACAGTGAAATAGGATACATGACGTTAACATAGTGATTAAACTAAATTATTGCATGTTAAAAGAGATAATTATTTTGTTCATTTTTGACAAAAAAGAAATGATCTGAAAATTTAACATAGTGAAAGAGAATACATGCAGTTAACATAGTGCTTCATTTGAATAATTTCATGATAAATGACATAATTAATAAAATAAACATTGTCAGAAAAAAAAATACTAAAGTTACATATTGATATGTTAAATAATGTAATACAATATGATAGATAACAATCATCAAAAACAGTTCATTAAATATCAATTTCTGATCATTGTAATAATATTGAAATTGATGAAAGTAATATTAAATATGTATTTAAATAAATAAATAAAAGAAATGCAGTGAAATATAAAGAAAATATAGGTAAAGGTTATTTTTCAAAGATCAGGGATAGTTTGTGAAAATAATATCATTTGAAAAAATTAATGTTCTAATTATAAATGCATGCATAGATTTGTAAATAAACAAGTAAATGAATTAATAAGTAAATATCATAAATGATGTTTAATGTAATTAACATGGTCAGAAGAAGTATAAGATAAATATATATAATGAAGGAATGGTATATACCGGTTATATGATATATAGGACACATGAATGATATATATAAATACCAGTTATATGATTTTTAGGACAACTGAATATGGTATATGTAAATACAGGTTATATGATATAAAGTACAAGGGAATGGTATATATCAATACCAGTTATATGATATATGGAACAAGTGTTTGGTATATAAAAAATAAAAATAAAAATACCAGTTATATGTTAAATGTGTAAAGGAAAATTAATGGTATATATCAATACCAGTTATAATATATAAGGGAAAATGGAATGGTATAAATGAATACCAGTTATATGTTATGTAAGACAAAGGAATGTTATATATAAATACATGTTATACAATATTTAGACAATTGAATTATTTATAAATGTCAGTTATATGATATATAGGACAAGGTAATGGTATATATGTATGTAAATACCTGTTAGATGATATATAGGACAAGTGTTTGGTTTATATAAATACCAGTTTTATGATATATAGGATAAGATAATGGTATATATAAATACCAGTTATATATAGGATAATTGAATGGTCTATATTAATACCAGTTATATGATATATAGATCATGGGAACAGTATATTTTATTACCTGTGATATGATATACTAGTATAGGATTATATGCTATAGAGGAATGGAAAATTTTAATACCTGTTAGATGATATATAGGACAATGGAATGTTATACATAATTTATTTCATTAAGGTGAGGACCATTTACTTTTTATATTTTAGATTTTCCTTCTTTTGATTGTTTTATATTGTAAAGATTGAAAAAAGTAATAAAAATTAAATTATGCAAAACGATAAATGTGTACAAGTTAATACTATTAGTCAGTATTTACTCAAAGCGTTAAAGGGATTCCACTGAGGATTATATTTTCTTAATTTCTTGACATGATAGGACGGGAGTTATGTTGTTGAGGTTTCATACTATTTGAAGAAGATATATTATTTTTCATGTATAAAATTTGTATGCAAAATTTCAGATTATTTGCTCACTTTGTTTTTCCAAAATACTAGTAATCATTTTAGCTCGGCTATTCAATGAATAGCTAATGCTATAATAGTACTTACCGCATTGGTGTCAAACTTAGGTTACTTTTATGTGTGCAAGTTGGTATCTAAAAAACTACTGAATGAAAATTTCAATTGACATTCTTGTTCTTTAACATGACTAACACAAATCCCATACCACTGATATTTTTTTCCTCATATTTATTCCCCTTTTACGACTTAAAAAATCTTGGTTAAGTTTTAACGTATAAGAGTGGATTAGAACTTCACACACATATATGAGAGTAATAGGAAGTCTCTGTCCGAGCACATAGATATTTGACAGAATTATTTCCCTTTTTGAAGTTAGAAAATTCTGCATTATCCATCACTGTGGATAGTCAAGCACAATGTCCTGTCGACAGTGTTTAAATGTTTATAGCTAAAGTCCGTCTGAAAATTACACTTCATTAATATCGATTTTCAATTTTATTCCGAGTATATTTCTTTAGTATCATTTTTTCCCTTATTGAATATCCCGATTAATCAGTTTTGGCTTTTCTATTTTTATTCTTTATTGTTTGACCTCAGTGGAGCTCCTTTAAGTTGTTTATGTTAGAATGATAATTTTAAACACTAGGCAAGTATAGATTTACCTTGCTGTAAATTCATATGTACTAGTATATACTGTAACTACATAGACAGTATAACATAATTTTTAATCAAAACATGTTATACACCATAGATGTAAATAATTATGAATTTTAGCTCGCCTCACCTGTCACAAAGTGACATAGTGAGCTATTGTGATCACTTTTTGACCGGCGTCCGTCCGGCGTAATATTTTACTTTAAACGACATCTCCTCATAAACCGCTAAGCCAGTTTCATTAAAACTTCACAAGAATGTTCCTTTGGTAGTCAACTTAAAAATTCTTCAAAAAATTTAATTCCATACAGAACTCATGGCAACCTAAAGAAAAAACATAAACATTTTCTTATAGAAAAACTGAAAGAGCTAGAGCATGAAACATTGTCTAGTCAGTGTCTACCAAGTTTATTCAAATAAATTCCCAGGGGTCAAAAATAGGGGGGGGGGGGGTCATTGATTTTCCTTATACATACCAGTTCTCAGCTGCCCCTTGGGGATATATACAAGTTCTCAGCTGCCCCTTGGGGATATATACCAGTTCTCAGCTGCCCCTTGGGGAGATATACCATTTCTCAGCTGTCCCTCAGGGATATATACCAATTCTCAGCTGTCCCTCAGGGATATATACCAGTTCTCAGCTGTCCCTTGGGGATATATACCAGTTCTCAGCTGTCCCTTGGGGATATATACCATTTCTCAGCTGTCCCTCAGGGATATATACCAGTTCTCAGCTGCCCCTTAGGGATATATACCAGTTCTCAGCTGTCCCTTGGGGATATATACCAGTTCTCAGCTGCCCCTTTGGGATATGTTCAAGTTCACAGCTGTCCCTCAGGGATATATACCAGTTCTCAGCTGTCCCTTAGGGATATATACCAGTTCTCAGCTGCCCCTTGGGGATATATACCAGTTCTCAGCTGTCCCATGGGGATATATACCAGTTCTCAGCTGTCCCTTAGGGATATATACCAGTTCTCAGCTGCCCCTTGGGGATATGTTCACAGGTGTCCCTTAGGAATATATACAAGTTCACAGGTGCCCCACGAGGATACAAAGAAGTTCTCAGCTACCCCTCGGATAAGTTCTCGGCATAAGTCAGTTCTCAGGGATATATACCTGTTCTTGACTGCCCCTTGGGGGATATATATAAATTCTCGGTTACCCCCAGTGGGGGGAATGTATTCCAGTTTTCATCATAAGTCAGTTCTCAGTTGCCCCTCATGGATATATATACAAGTCTCAGCTATACCTGAGGGATATATACCAGCTCTTGGATGCCAATATGCTCTCTCACACAGACAGCCATGTTTTATATGTTTATATGCTATTAAATGTTTATTATACCCCCGCACAACAAAGTTGTAAGGGGGGTATACTGGAATCAGCTTGTCCGTCCGGCCGTCCGTCCGGCCGTCCGTCCGTCCGAGCCAACATTTGATTATTATGAGCTTCATTCCGTAGTTAAATAAAGAACATAAACTCATAAAATTTAAAATTAAGAGCTATTTTTTGTTTTTATGAGCTTATTTTGCTTATGGACGTTGGTCCAGGTGGTGTTTATGAGCTCATTTGCCTCATAAACATCAAATTTTGGTATGTCCGTCCGTCCGGCCGTCCGTCCGGCCGTCCGTCGGTTTTTTCTTGTCCGCCCAATAACTTAAGATTCCTTTGACCCTTAGTCTTCATATTTGGCATGGAGGTTAGTCATGATTAGTAGATGACCCCTATTGATTTTGAGGTCACTAGGTCAAAGGTCAAGGTCACAGGGGCCTTGACTTCAAAAAGCTTGTCCGCCAAATAACTTAAGATTCCTTTGACCTACAGTCGTCATATTTGGCATGGAGGTTAGTCATGATTAGTAGATGACCCCTTATTGATTTTGAGGTCACTAGGTCAAAGGTCAAGGTCACAGGGGCCTTGACTTCAAAAAGCTTGTCCGACCAATAACTTAAGATTCCTTTGACCCACAGTCTTCATATTTGGCATGGAGGTTAGTCATGATCAGTAGATGACCCCTATTGACTTTGAGGTCACCAGGTCAAAGGTCAAGGTCACAGGGGCCTTGACTTCAAAAAGCTTGTCCGCCCTATAACTTAAGATTCCTTTGACCCATAGTCTTCATATTTGGCATGGAGGTTAGTCATGATTAGTAGATGACCCCTATTGATTTTGAGGTCACCAGGTCAAAGGTCAAGGTCACAGGGGCCTCGACTCCAAAAAGCTTGTCCGCCCAATAACTTAAGATTCCTTTGACCCACAGTCTTCATATTTGGAATGGAGGTTAGTCATGATTAGTAGATGACCCCTATTGATTTTGAGGTCACCAGGTCAAAGGTCAAGGTCACAGGGGCCTTGACTTCAAAAAGCTTGTCCGCCCAATAACTTAAGATTTCTTTGACCCACAGTCTTCATATTTGGAATGGAGGTTAGTCATGATTAGTAGATGACCCCTATTGATTTTAAGGTCACCAGGTCAAAGGTCAAGGTCACAGGGACTTTGACTTCAAAAAGTTTGTCTGCCCAATAACTTTAGATTCCTTTGGACCCACAGTCTTCATTTTTGGCATGGATGTTGATCATGATTAGTAGATGACCCCTTTTGATTTTGAGGTCACTGGGACTTTGACTTCAAAAAGTTTGTCCACCCATTTATGACCCACAGTCTTCATATTTGGCATGGATGTTGATCATGACTATAAGGTGACGCCTATTGATTTTGAGGTCACTGGGTCAAAGGTCACAGGGACCTTGACAAAAAAAAGCTTTTCTTCTTAATTGTTAAAGAATGTCCTGTCCGCAATGTATTGATTTTGACATTTTCACATTTGAAGCATGTAGAATACATAACTTAGCAATGCACTGGCTTAGTAACCTCAGATTTGGCAGGGAGGTTGTCCTTGAGCTGTAAATGGCCACTGTTGATTCTGACAAAGTGGTATGCGGGGGTATTCACGCCATGATAGTGGCAGTTCTAGTTTTCATAGATAATTTCTGTAACGGTTGAATTAGAATTTTTAATTAAACAATTTGTCATATTTTAGTACCAAGAAATTATAACATTATAATTATGTATAGATAAGTTATATTTCTGCTGATGTTAACATAATTTTGATATGTTAGTTTACATGTATTGTAAAACATATGTTACATGAAATTACCCAAACTGTATGTTGAAATCTTGTTTTTTAAAATGCATCCAGGGTAACCTAGTATGCATACTCGTTGTGTATACACTTCATTCGTGATGAATGTAGTTCAGTCAAATCTGTATGTATGGGTTCGGACGATGCTAAAATGTAGTTTTATGCTTTCAGACAGTAATGATATAACTACATCTTATTAAAGGTATGTCAGCTTTTTTTTTGCTTGCTGATGTTTAGTATATACCAAGATTAAGATATGTTATATATAAACATATTTTACACATGTCTGTTTGTTACATGAAATTCTGATTGAATGTATATAGTACATAATATTACATGCCAAAGGGACTCCACTGAGAATTCTTGACATGCCGGGACTGGAAATAATTTTTTTGAGATTATTACTCCATTTGATGTAGATCTATACTAATAACCTATAAGCAAAATTTCAGATCATTAGCTCGCTCCCTTTTTCCAGAATTATTATTATAATAGTGAAAAATGACCCAAAATTGAAAAATGTTCAAACGCTTTTCAATCAAATCGGACTGAGAATAGCACAAACATACAATTTTTAATGTATTTCTTGTATATTTCTTAGTTATATTTAATTTATATTTCTGTTTAAAGTACTCATGTTTATTTATGTGAAAATTAGAATGTTATGTTTTGAGGCTGATAAACCTCAGTGGAGTTTCTTTAATATTGTTAATTGTATAATCACAAGCTATTGCAATCCTTTTATGAAAATAAGATTATATTATTTTATAACAAGTTATGTTATGTGACATGACACTATACATACATTTTAAATTGTTGTACCTATTTGTTTTAAAGGCCCATTAAGCCTTAAAAATGCAATCACTTATATTTTTCAAAAGCTTTCCGAATTTGTTATCCAAAGAATTTCTCATTATCAGAGCCATTTGTTGTTGTCTTTGCAGTACAGTACAGTTATGATGAATAAGTATTTAATATGGGTGTTAAATAACCATTTTGTTGACATTTTGCTACACAAATCATAATTATTTTCTTTTCAAACTCATTTTTTTGCCACGCGATAAGAATATCACTTGTTGTAAATCTATTATTACAACATTATAAAACACATATTTGCCCTTTTTTACAAAAAAAAAATAAATAAAAATATATTCATTTCTGAGGCGTAATGTGCCTTTAAACTTTAAATGTATATGATAGGGTAAATTAATTCATTTATATAGTATCATAGTTAATGGGGCTGTGCATTGCCATTTTTTTCTGTCACGATACATATCACAATACTTGTATTTCCAAACGATGCGATTCACGATATGTATTGCATACTTTGATAAAATCCGATGCATATTGCTATTTTTATGTTTCGATGCAATACGTATCACAATACTGACTTTCAGACTTTATCTATATAAAAAACCTGGTCATTTATTCACAGCATAATATTAACGAATGTTATATAAAACTTTTACAATAACAAAACAATAAAATCTACAACTTGTTATTATAACTTATTTTCAAGTTTTGATCTTTCAACAATTTACATTACTTATTACTTAAGGATTTTTATTTTTTACTAAAGGATTAAAGGTATTTTTCATTATACCATAACTATTAGTGTATTGCGCTACTTTGCCGCTATATCGATGAATTGGGTGGTAAAATATGTATTGCATCCTGATATATTGGAATTTATAAATTCATTACGATGCATACATCGAGGACAGGGCAGATCGCGATGTATCGATGCATCGATGAATCGTTACACCTCTAATAGTTAACATAATTATGATAACATGAAAATCATGTTATGAATTGTTTACTAGGTATGATAACATGAAAATCATGTTATGAATTGTTTACTAGGTATGATAACATGAAAATCATGTTATGAATTGTTTACTAGGTATGATAACATGAAAATCATGTTGTGAATTGTTTACTAGGTATGATAACATGAAAATTATGTTATAAATTGTTTACTAGGTATTTTAATTTATGTGTATTTTATGCTTATATTTGTAATCCTCATGATGACAAAACTATATTGGCCATGTTTATACTTAAACAATTCTGTATGAAGTTAAGATAAGTTCATGCTGGAATATGTCAATTGTACATATACATATATATTAAACATGACTGTTTAAAACTTGAAATGTTTATGGAAGACATTATTCAGCTATTTTGTTAGCATCAATAAAACTTGTCTTAGAGAACTAAACTTTTCGAAACAATTTTATTCATTTTATATAGCACTTTTTAAGTTTATTATAAGTAGCTGGTTTTATTGAAAAATTATAAGAGGATATCAGGCAGTGGTTGACCAACATTTTGTATAATAAATAACATGTCTAGAACATTATGTATTTTATAAGGTTAAAAAAATTAAATTCAGTATGGATGCACCAGATCCATATTTATTGAATTTATCCAACAATGGTGACATGTATATCAGCATAGAGAAAGGTCAACAAAGTGTAGGCAATATATAACATTTAGATCTGTCATAGAACCTTTATGAGAGCATTGTTATTCTGCTGGTTTTGTTATTATTGAAATACTTTAAGAAATTAAAATATATTTGTTTGATAGGTTAGCATATATGTATGACTTGTATAATGTATATGTATGATGTATAATAAAAAAATGTACAGAATTGATTAGTGTATTATTTGTTGTCCCCTCTCTTACAGAACTAGTTGAGGGTATAAAACTTGTTGAAAATTTACTTCCCACTATTTTTAGCTCACCTGTCACAAAGTGACAAGGTAAGCTTTTGTGATCACAATTCGTCTGGTGTCCGTCCGTAAACTTTTACTTTTAACGACATCTCCTCATAAACCGCTAAGCCAATTTCATCTTAACTTCACAGGAATGTTCCTTTGGTGGTCACTTTAAAAATTGGTCAGACACTTTAATTTCATGCAGAACTCTGGTTGTCATGGCAACTAAACGAAACAAACTTAGAAATATTCTTTTAAAGAATCCAAAGAGCTAGAGCTCAGATATTAAGCATGAAACATCTTCTAGTGAGTGTCTATCAAGTCTGTTCAAATAAAATTCCTTGGGACAAAATTAGCAGGCCACGGGGGATCATTGATTTTCCTTATACGTATATAGGTCTTGAAAAGGTCTTAAAAAAGCTCCAGGGTCCTAGAGCTGATATATTTAGCATGAACAATCTTCAAATGGGTGCCTACAAAGTTTGTTTAAATAAAAGCACCGGGGTCAAAATTTGCCCCACCCTGGGGGATGATTGATTTTCCTTATATGTAAATTTAAAAACTTAAAAAGTCTTCTTTTAAAAAACACACACAAAAATTGCTAGACTCTAGAGCTTAGATATTAAGCATGAAACATCTTCTAGTGAGTGTCTACCATCTTTGTTCAAATCTTTGTTAAAGCCCTGAGGTAAAAATTGCCCTCGTTGATTTCCTTTATATGTACACATCTTTTGGCAACCAGTAAAGTTTTTACACATGCACTATTTCAGATCCAAATATGAACTTTGTTATATCAGTTTAAGATTTAGATTTATATCTATTTTTGTTTGTTATAGTTAACAATATAACTTGTTCCTTGTCATGGATAATTTCTATATTCAGGTGAGCGATTTCAGATCCATCACGGCCCTCTTGCCTTATTAAGCAAAGACTCAGCTGTCATAAAATAAATTAATATATTTAGAATATATGCACTGTACTCATGTGAGAATGCAATGTGGCCGAGTGGTTAACGATCGGACTAGTCATATAAAGATTGCTGGCCGTGTGGGTTCAAACCCCGTCAGGAGCAATCCATTAAATTACATGTTTCCCTGAACAAAAAACTCACTGCTTAGTACTGGTTGGTTCCAGGAATGGATTCGAGAGTGTTTCAATAAGCTTATAGCTTTTTACACTATCAAACTGAATTTATTAAGTTTAATCTAAGTTAATGTAAGAATGAGACATAACGTTAACGTGTAAGATAGAAACACCGTCATTATCAAACAGAACTGCAACAAGAAAATTGTTCCGTATAACATATCGACAAGTCTGATAAAATGCAAATATACAGTACCTTTAAATAAATATACAGTATTTCAAGTGTGTTAAGCATTTACCCATAGTATATGACATCACATGTGACGTTATACAAATTATACCAGTGGTTACAAACTACATGTGATATCTTCAGTGTTTTCTCTGTATTGTATGCTAAGTTTCTATAAAAAATTGTAAATTACACAGGCCATGTCATAAAATATTTGAAGCCTGCAGGTTATGCCATTAAAAATTATGTCTGTAGATTATTTTCATAGAAAGTAAAGTCTGAAAGTTTTTTTCAAAAAATAGTAAAGAATACAGGTTGTGTAAAAAAAGTGAAATCTGCAGGTTTTGTCATAAAATTGTAAGTCATAGAATATTGAAAACCTGCAGACTATGCCATAGAAAAAAGTATGCAGGTTTATAATGCCATTAAATAGTAAAGTTTGCAGGATATGTCACAAAATAGTAAAGTATGCAGTTTATTTCATAAAATAGTAAAGTATTCAGGTAATGTCATAAAATAGTAAAGTATTCAGGTTATGTCATAAAATATTTAATTCTCTAGGTTATGGCATTAAGCACTAAGAATGTACAAATATAGTGAGTATGCTTAAAAATTGTCATTGAATGTGTCTGCATACATTGTAGTCATAATAAAGCATGGTACATAATGTATTTGTATTTTTTTCTTTTTAGCTCACCTGTCACAAAGTGACATGATGAGTTTTTGTGATAGCTTTTCGTCCGTCTGGCATCCGTCCGTAAGCTTTTACTTTAAACGACATCTTCTTATAAACCACTAAGCCAATGTCATTCAAATATCAAAGAAATGTTCCTTTGGAACTCAACTTCAAAAATTGTTCGAAGAATTTAATTCTAAGTAGAACTTTGGTTGCCATGGCAACCGAAAGAAAAATCTTAAAATATCTTCTTTTAGAAAACCGAAAGAGCTAGAGCTTAAATATTTGGCATGAAACATTATCTAGTCAGTGTCTACCAAGTTAGTTCAAATAAATGTCCTTGGGGTCAAAATTGGCTTAGCCCCAGGGGATCATTGATTTTTCTTATTTGTATATTGTAAAAAGATCTTCTTTTAAAAATTCCAAATAGCTACAGCTTAGATATTAAGCATGAAACATCCTCTAGTGGGTGTCTACAAAGTTTGTTCAAATGAAAGCCCTGGGGTAAAAATTGGCCCTGCCCTATGGGTCATTGATATTTCTTATTTGTATAATTATTATAATAGTAAAAAATTAAAAAATCTTATTTTAAAAACCTCGAAGAGCTAGAGCTAAGATATTAATCATGAAACAGTTTTTAATGGGTGTCTACCGAGCTTGTTCAAATATGGGCTCTTGGGTTAAAATTTGTGCCCGCCCCAGGGGTCATTGATTTTCCTTTAAATTTTCATATGAAAAACCAAAAGACCTAGAGTTTAGATACTAAGCATGAAATATCTTCTAGTGAGTGTATACCAAGTTTGTTTAAATAAAAGCCTTGGGGTCAAAATAGGCCCCTCCCATGCAGGAGGGGGGTGCATTGTTTTCCCCTATATGTATTTTGTAAAAACTTTAAAAATCTTCTTATAAAACCCCAAAGAGCTAGAGCTTAGCTATTTTTCATGAAACATCTTATAATGGGTGTCTACCAAGTTTGTTCAAATAAAAGCCCCTGGTTTTAAACAGGTGAGCAATTTTAGGGCCCTCTTGTTTCTTCCTTTGTACAGATGTTTCAAATAAGGATTTCTGTAGCTTAGTGATTTAGGTGGTTAATTTTACAAACCACATGCCCCTCACTGCTGCATGTGTACTTGTGTTTCTATCATGTGAGGAAGCTATCCAGCTGACTTATGGAATATGGTGATTCTACTCAGACGCCTGCTTGTGCCTGAAATAATTCACGGAGGGCCACCAACTCCTCCACCAGTAAAGCTGTAAAGGCACCATATATGACTTTCGTGTTGGTGCTATGTCAATCCCAACAAAACAACTGATGCAGATGCATACCTGGGGATGACAACATTGATCAGTAATTGATTTAAGGTTTGACTGTAAATATAGATATCATAAGTATTAGACCTCTTTCTCACATCGAACCCAGCTTGGTGACGATGTTGGGAGTTTATGATCATGATTTTGTAAACATACAATCATAAGTTTGTCCAAGTTTGAACAAACAAATGATTGCTATTTTGTTGATCTTTTTGTTGCAGAAGACAGGTGTAAAATTCAACATTCCATAGAAAACAGAACCACCTTCTCTATAAAAGTTACATTATTCTTATTTCTGCTTCTGTCAAGTTGTATTAGTAATATATTTCAAGAGATTAACGATTATGTCTACGTCCCCGCGAGGGGTTTGACATTAAAGGTAGATAGATAATAAGAGTATGATTGGGATTGACAAATCTGATAAAAATTTGATCTAAAATAACGCTCCGCTTTTAGATCTGACCGTGACCAAATACGAAATTATTTCTGGTGACATTTCACACATTTCACACAGCCAATTTCACATTTCACATTTCACACAGCCAATCATCGGCAAGATTTCATAATTTTGAAAACGATGTGTTCACTAACTTAAACACTGGGAATACCAATACTGAATAGGTACTTTTCAAGATGTCTAGAACAAACATGGCGTTGTCAATATAGGCCACATGTAAACTGGCAAAACGATCTTGCCAATTAAAAATTGACTCTTAAGTTAATTTGCTTAAACCTTGTCTAATTTCCATGGATAACGGTATTTTATACTGCTTCTTATGCCTATGTAAAGCCGTTTTGATTGCTTGGCTAAAACTAGCTTTCTCGGGAAATCCGAATTATAAAGATGGCGAAACATATACGGTCGTCATCAAATCTACATTAAAGGAATAAGTAGATCTAAACTTTAGTCAAATTGGTGATTGACCATAAATTGATAATAAAAAAATGTTTTAGGATCTAATATGTATACTGCCTTAATTTAAAAAAGAACACTGCACAAATATACGTTGGATTGAGCCGCCGTTGCGCAAAAGTGTGCCAAAGTTGCAAACAATGTAAACTTTGAATGCATGTTTGCACAGTTTTTTAAATTATACATGTTAACTGTGTTTAAAGCTTTAATTTTGACATTGCGTTATTGAGCATCATTTATTCACGTAACCATAGTTTGGTTAACGTACATATTTACAATTATTTATTTTCGTTTGCATATTCAAATCATTATGTAACATTCCGGTGATTTGATTTAAAAACCAGTGATATAATATATTTATATTAAACATTAATTATCGTATATTGTTAATGGTGTGTTTATATATACATTTTGTTGTAGTTTTTACGGAATATATATCTTAATAAATTGCAATCTGACTATGTAAGAAGTTATAGACTACACATTCAAATTTGTTCCTGTTAATTATTAACCTGTATCTCATGTAACATTTTGCTAAATGGGCCAACGCCTTACACCTGACGGGGTTTGAACCCACAGGGCGAACAATAGTTAAGACCCGTAGCCATACGCGAACGATCACCACTTGGCAACGCCACAACATACATACAAGTATATTGAACTATATCAACACTTATTCCGCTAT